GTGTTGGTACAGTTAAGAATGGAGGATTGAGTTTGTATGTTTACATCAACAGGGACTGAAGAACATGTGGATGCATAAAATGGACTGACATTACCAACGTTCAGAACTGTAAACGGCCAGAGTCCACATGTTTCATTTAATTTCAGCCATGAGAACAAGTTGACAAAGTGTCATGCTGACCTGGAATTGCACATATTTAACTTTTCTTTGTTTCTGTTGCCTGTCTCATTATTTCTCTGTTCTCTACAGAACAAAGTGTTAATCTGTCAGTCTGTCTTTACTTTAAAGAGGTCCTGTCAAAGAGCGGGTTTCAAAATGCTGCAGTGGGTGGAGCCAGGCTCAGACCTGGGGGTGGTCAAGTCTGGAGGCGTGTCATGGGAGGAGTCGGCAGCAGAGACTGACAGGATATAAGTAATCTGACAACATCACAGATCATCACACTGGAAGCTCCTTTTGGACATCAAGAAGACTCTCACACAACTGATCTGATCTACACAACTTCACCAGGTGAGGACAGGCTGGGTGCACAGAGACAGAAACAGATGTACATTTAGAGTTTAACTGAACTCCAGTCTGTGTGAAACTATATCTGTTTTTGTCTGTCAACTCTCAACACTCAACATACTTAACAGTGTAAATGAAGTACTGGAAGCTGTGTGGTCACTTTTCTCATCAGGTTGGAGAAATGGACTCAGATCTCAACGTTGCTGCCCTGGGTCGACCTTTCAGCCTAGGAATGCTCTATGATGCTCGGAAGGATTTACTGATCCCAGGTAAGTGTTAGATTACATTATTATTTAAATATTTCTCTACATATCTGCCTTTCACAGCTTTGCTTAAAGGGACTTTGAAATCATTTTACTATTCAGTTTTAACATCCATACACACCATTAAAATAATAAGCAAATGCTTTTTAATGCCATAACGTAGTTGTGAACATTCATTAGTTAGCAATTTTAGGGAAGCATGCTGTATTAGTAGCTGATACATTATCCTGTGATAAATAAGACAGTTGAATTGTTGTTATTCTTGTAAAAGTTGTCCGTGCTTCTTACTTGCGCTTTTGGAATCAAACAGCTAGTTAGCTAGCTTTGATTATGGACCGCAACATTATCTCATGATTAATTAGCAAACTATATAAAAACTTCTCAAACATTAATACTAGTAAACGCAATCACAACTTACTTGGTTTTGAGACTTTTTGAGAAAACAACAACTGATATCGGACCTCCTCCTCCTTTTCCACTCTGCCTCTTAACCATGCGTCGTCGATTCTTCTTCTTTCTGTTTTAAAATTTTCACGAAATGATCCTCCTGCTTTATGTTTTCCAATTTCTAAAGATTTGACATTGTGGGATAATACAACTCTACAAGAGAAGATGACTGAAAACCTTCAACCCAGTAGTCAATTTGAAATGACTGAATCTGACTCCATTAAATCCAAGTCCTCTCTGCTGAATGTTGAACCTTCTCTGAAGGCCAGTTTCCTCTGTGGACTGATGCAAATTGGAGGATCTGCCATGTATCTGAATGATCAGAAGAAATTCAAGAATCAGAGCAGAGTGACGTGTTGGTTCAAATCTACCACCCACTTCAAAACGTTGTCAATGATTGAGCATCAAACCTTAGACTCCCAGCAAATCAAAGTTATTAGGAACAGCTCGGCAACACATGTAGTCACGAGCATCCTTTATGGGGCAAACTCTTTCTTTGTGTTTGACAGTGAGAAGTTAGGCGACAGCAGCATTCAAGACATCAATGGCAACATGAAATCTGTGATAAGCAAGATCCTCTCACTTAGTCTTGACGCGCAAGCTGGCATCAAGCTGACTAATGGAGAAAAAGACCTGACCAATAAATACTCCTGCAAATTCTTCGGAGACCTCATCCTTAAAAGCATCCCTGGAACATTTGAAGAGGCAATGAAGACCTGTGGAGATCTTCCAAGCCTACTGGGAGAAAAAGGAGAGTATGCTGTCCCAGTGAAGGTCTGGCTGATGCCACTGAAGAAGTTGATTCTCGAAGCTGCTGAGCTGACGGATGGGATCAGCGATGGACTGGTGGGGAAGATGCAGGATGCTCTTGAAGATTTCAGCGAAATACGAATGAGATGCAACGATTCTCTGGAAGACGAAGTGGTACACAATTTTCCATATATTCATGAAGAGTTAGAAACTTTCCAAAAATTGTGTCACCAATATGCATCTAACCTCAAGCAGACCATGGCGAAGAAACTCCCCTCCATCCGTGAAGGTAAAGAAGATGAGAGCTCATTAGAAGAATTATTGGAAGACAGAGACAAGTCACCATTCACTCAAGAAAAACTAAGCAAGTGGCTGGATGACAAAGAGAGAGAAATCAACGTCATCAGTTCCTGTGTAGATACCATGGAGAGAGTAAAGATCGTCCGAAATCAGACCGAGCTGGACAGAGAGGTTCTTGCTGGAGATGTAGATGATGCTCTGTGCTTTGTTTTCACCTCCATAAAGAGGGGTGATACCTACCTTGATGTGATGGCCACCTACTTGGGCTCCACTAAAACAGGGGGTACTAATGAAGACCAGTGGTTCTACTCAAGTGAAGTTTGTACCACATTGAGAGAAAAATCCAAAGCTTTCCATGAGTTTGCCAGAGCACAGAAGAGCAACAAGCGGGTCAAGTTCCTAATCACAGTCATTCCAAATGAGAAATACAAAGGAGCAACCATCTACCATTACAAGGAGGGCAATCTGGTCAGTGAATCTTTTTCAAAACCAGACCTTCCTTCTGAAGAGATCACAGACAGAAGAGATCTGACCTGGTGTAAGTTTATTCATGCTTTTGAGTCAAAAATACGCTGTACTAATCAATGTCCTCCAGAAACCCGTTTGAACATCAGAATTAATGAGTTTGTGTTGGTCTCTCCATCAGATGCCTGTGATCTCACCCTGGACCCAAACACTGCACAGAACTACCTCGTTCTGTCTGATGGAAACAAGAAAGCAACAAGTACATACACATGGCATTCTTATTCTGGTCACCCAGACAGGTTTTCTACACTACCTCAGGTGATGTGCAAAGAGGAGTTATCTGGGCGTCATTACTGGGAGGTAGAGTGGAATCATGATTCAACTAATAATAAATATATTTATGCAGCTGTTGCATACAAGAGAATTGACAGAAAGGGAAGAGGTTCGATGGAAAGTTTTGGAAAAAGTGCCACATCGTGGGCTTTATGGTATTATACAAAACATGGACAACTGTGTGCCGTTCACAATGATGAGGTGAAGGAAATTGATTTTCCTTCTGATGGCTGCCCAACACTTGGGGTGTATCTGGACTGGCCTGCTGGCACTCTGTCCTTCTACAAAGTCTCCTCTGACACACTGAGCCACCTCCACACCATTCACTTCCCATTCACTGAGCCTGTGTACCCTTGCTTCCTGGTTCGTTATACAAACAATTATGTCTACCTACGTCCAGTTCAATAGGAGCAATGACAATGACTTGTTAGATCCTTGGTCTGTTACAAGTAAAGTTTAAACAGTAAAGTAACATCCCATGTTAACTTGAACATGTTTCACAAATTCCAAAAATGTATTCAAAACCCAGAGAGAGCAGGAAAATGCACAATCTTATAAAGTTACAACATATGTCATTTTCTGTTTTTCATTTCTTGTTGATTCGATGCACAGACTCAAACTGGTTTCTGCTTCACAGCTTCACAATCAGTTTCAACTTTCTTTTCAAATCACGTTTGAATTATTTTTATTTCTATTCGTATTCCTGATCATTATTGCTTTGTCAAAACAAATGTGTTGACATTTACTTTCAAAGCTCATGTCAAAACTTGCAGAACTTGTTTTAATGAATTTATTAAGTTGATTATGTTGTGACATAAGGGTTAGGGTTACAGGCGTTGCTTACCTTTTTATGCATGTGGTTTATCCTCTTTTAACTTTCCATTGTCTATGATGAGTTATGATCTATTTTTTATTATCGAGCTAAGAGTGTTTTATTTTCAGATATCAATATACTCGTTACATGTAATCCCATATTGTTTAGGAACAGTTCAATGATGATGAGCTTTAATGTGTTTCTCTATCATTTATAAAAATGTAATCATATGTGCTTATAAGGTTGACTAAATGTGAAAGCTAATGAAATAAGTGAACTTTGGGTTGAACTCACTCTGACCTGATGATTGACAGCCAGCAGAGAAGAAAGGTTTTAAACTCAGAAACTCTAACTCTTGTGATTGTTAGGGAGACGTCCTGTTCAATGAGAGCTAGACAGACGGGGGGGTGGGGGGGGGTGAAGACAGCTGATGAAGACAACCGATGATTAAAGAATGATCGGTTGTCTACCTTATATGGGACCCGGAGGTTGCAGAAGCACCAAGGAGAAGTGTATATATAGGAGGAGACAACAAAGGATCGAGGCTTCTGGGGGGTTCTTGCTCTTTGAGAAAGTTGGTTCTTTTTGAGCTTGGTACATCTGACATTTTGTATTATCTTTTACTTATTTTTTATTATTCATTTTTTGTTAGCTTTTACCTTACTTTTTGTAAAAACCAAATAAAACTGGTTTGTATTTTGTACATTCCAACCCAAGTCCAGTGTTGCTCATCTCTGGTGGGGCCTTCATAGTCTCCTAAAGGTAAGAGAGCTCTTCCCCTGGGATAGGCTGACAGTAGTAAATAAATTAGACATGACATTTGAATGACATTCCTGTTACAAGCTAAGGTTAAAATGGTGTTGTTCAGTATTGTTGTGATTTACTAACTTGGTTGGCTCACATTGTTTTGATGCTCTGCTTATGTATCATATATGATGTTGCAGTGTGATTATAATGTTTAGACATTAGCTGTTGTGTATTAGGAAGCAATGGGGTCAGATTGGCATCTAAATCAGGAGTGTTAGATTAGATTATAAAACTTTATTACCGAATCAGAAGGCATTAGAAAAAACATTAAAAACATAAAACATAAAAACCAGAGTACTAAAAACACAGACGCACATGTGACAGAGTCGCCGGCAGAGGGGGCGGCGCCAAAGAAACGGCGGGACCAGGGCCAGGGTCCTGAAGCTGCCCTCGATAACCGAGCGAGGTTTCCAACCACATGGGGTTCCTCGTCCAGTGGTGGCCCTTTAATAAGTGATATGACGGTGGCTAGTGTTATTAAGTTATCCTGGCTTTTGCCTCCCTAAGCAGGCTACGGTCTTGAGTGTAGATTTTGGGGGGTACGTTCGTTACCTCGGTCAGAGGGTGCTGAACAAGCCATCTTCCAGTGCTTCACTCACACTGGGAGGGGGTATCGGTTACACAGCTAGGCTGCACACCTTTTCAATATATACGTATACATGTATACACATATATATGTATACATATGTGTATGGTCTGTTACAACATGTTAATCAAGTATTTGTTCCACAGAAATGATCTGGTTATAATAAGATCCTTACATTCATGGTGTGTCCTTTTTTGTTTTAGAATCACTTTCGCAACTACGTCCACACACACACACACCCACACACACACACACACACACACACACACACACACACACACACACACACAGATAAGGAGGAGGAAGAAAACACCTCTTTCTTTCTCTGCCTCTCTGTCCATTTCCCTGAGGCTGCAGCAGGGTTAAAAAAGTCGAGGAGAAAGACAGTGAAATAAAGCTTTAATTTTGGTCAATAGCCATAGACATACACATAGGTCTGGGACTCCATTGACAGATGGATAGATGAAGCACTGAAGGAAGGAGGGAAGGATGGAAATAGTGACTTTGACTAAATTACCACACAGCATTTTTTCAGGGTGTTACTTTATCTCTGCGGCCTCCATGTTCTAGTATAAGTAGTACATAAAATAAGTGATTATATAGTACTTGAAATTATGTGATTGAAGGTGGTTAGATGAAATTGATGGGAATGAAAGCCCACATTTCTTTCCATTTTGTAATTGAGAAATAACGTCATCGCATATTTGGGCAGCATATAATGCATATTTAGTGTATTATCATGTTAGACTCAGAAGCTTATGTGTCTTTTTGTGAGTGGTGTGCTTGTGTGCTCATCTGTGTTTAATCAGGAATTTATTTAAACCGCTGCCAATGTTTAATGAGGATAGCATCCAGTGTATTATTGATATATTAATTCGGCCCACAAACTGCACATTCTGGGTCTTCTGGCTAAATGGACCTCTGGCCATCTCTCACATATGTGAAAACAGGAGGTTCCAGGTGAAGTCACATGTAGGAGAGACATGCCAAGAATCTACAACTGGTCCTTGTTTCACTGCCAGAAATGTACAGGAGTCTGCATACCAGATTACACATTTGTGTGTATAAACTGGGGAACAAATCCCAGCCTTCTGTCCAACTCCAAATAAACTGCTACATTACAATGTTTTCTTGACATTTCCCCCACAGGCACCATTCAGTGCAAATATTTCAATGAATGACATCAGTTTAGTTGTGACAATAGTATACAGCCACGCTAGCCACTATTTTGAGCTAAATGCTAATGTCAGCACATGCTAACGTGCTCACAATGACAATGCCAATGTTTATCGAGTAAAATGTCATGTTTCTCATCTTAGTTTCATATGTTAGCATGCTAATATCTGCTAATTAGCAGAAAACATATTCAGCTGAGGCTAATGGGACATCAACCCAACCACTGTGTGTGTACACTGGGTCTTACTGGTAACATGATTATTTCCCATGTTGTGATGGGACTATGTACTGTAATAAAAGCATCACCATAGAGAGATGTGTTATGATTTAGTTTCATTTTTAGCTACAAGGTGTGATTAGAATCCATGAAAACAAAGATGCAATATGACACCTCAGATTTTCAATTACGCTGGCAGGAAAAAACCATTAAGCTGCCATTACTTTTATTAAACTCTCTGCTGTCTTTATTGCAGCATGAAACTCGGGAGACACTTTCCAAGCCCCAGTGGGAGACAGAGATATATATACGTGTAACTGAATAGGTTACATTCAATTACAGCCCGCTGAGACCTATAGCATTACCAATGATGCTATTACCGCTGTCTGGAATATGGCCGACAGTACTGCCAACAACCTGGCCATGGCAGTGATTCTCAATTTAACATCCTGTTTATTGGTTTAGAGCAGCTGCTGATGGCAAAAAGTCGAACCTCATTCCCTCCCTGCCACTGCGATATTGTTAGCCTTTAACATAGCGTCAACGGGCCCTTTGTGAGTTACAGGCCATCAGCCTGCCCATTTGAAAAGAGAGAATAGAGTACAGAAGAGAAGAAAGTAGGCTGGAGGGATAAAAAACCTAACTGAAACAAATGATGGGCTTGCAGCACCTGACCAGACGGCCCAGATTCATGGGAAGCAAAAGATGGATGAGTGTTGCTTGGAATGCTTGCACGAGAGGAGGGAATTGGATTTTTACAGAGGCAAACAAGACAGATGGATGCAGACCAAGCCACCCTGTCTCCCACGGGTAGTAGCTCTGCAGTCTGATACCTCAGAGAGGTCGGTGAAAGAAGGGCCTGCACGTCACATCTAACAGACGACAAGGAGGGAGGACAGGCGTGCTGGAAAGTAGGACAGGAACAGACTGGCCTACTGTAAAGGCCCATGGGATGTTCACAGATAAAGAAAGACCACTCACAATGACAGCAGAGTGCTGCATTTACTGAGCCGCAACAATAGCCTGCTAAGACAGCAAGAAGGCAGCGTGGGATTTTATTTAGGTTGTTTATGTGCTATTTATATTAGCTTGCAGTCATGGATTACTCACTAGCTATATTACAGGTTTGAGCTAAAACTAAGTATTATTTACCTTTTTTCTTTTTCTAATAGCAGTGATTTAAAGTGGCCTGCCGGTCACGTGTTGTAATAACTACTGAGACCTCAGAGAGCAATGGGCTGCACACTGTGAGGTCACAGGCTTAAAATATCTAAACCAAAAGCTGCATATATTCATGGTAGAAACCTGACGTGTAACACGCTGACATGCAATTACATTAACAGCCTCAAGGTTATTACAATTCAAAATCCCACAAGACAAGAGGTGTCAGAATTGGGGTTATATGCTCACTTGACCTGAAAAGCACAGCATAATTGCTAAATGCTAACTTTTCTGGGTTAAAAAGTCACATTTTTTTCCAACCCAATGATTTCATAAAAAAAAAAAAACAATCCAATTATATTCATCCTCCCGTTTTCACAGAGATAATGCTAAAGAATAAGCAGCTTCAGTAAACCACTTTAAGTGAAGAAATAGGGACAGAAGGGCATGGAGAGGAATCTGGAAGGTCTCAATGTGCTTCTCCCCCAGAATAATACTCTCTAAATGGCCCACGCGTGCCATGCAGTCCGCTTTGTGTTTTTTCCCTCCCAACGACGAGCGTGAAGAAAACATCTGGACAGTCTTCGAGCACTGGCTCAAACATCTGCCACAGCTCAGCGGCAACAGGATTGTGCGTGTGTGCAACAGTGCAGGTGTTCCTCCAAAAATACACATGCAGATCTCCTCATGCTGGAAATTGACATAATCACTTCATTTGTGTCAGTTGTTTTGCTGGGAGGGACAAGCGAATGATCAGTGACTACTATTACTGAGGCAACTGGATTCAGGAAGAAATGTTGATGTCTTAAGGTTTGCTGAGGCTGACACTGTCAGAAATGATATGTATGCCAAAATTGGAGTAAAACGTCTAAAAGTAATCAGTTGTGCAGTTTTAATTGCCCTTTGTTTTTCAGTGATCACTGCAACTGAAGTCATACTGTAGGAGAGGACTGTGCAGCAGCATGCGGATGTGCAAATGTCCCCGTACTTTGGGTGCAATGACTGATGTAATACTTTACCTCTTAATAAATTCTCTTTGCCTCTGGCACAGCGAGGCACGTGATGCCACACCTGGCTGCCACCTGGCTCGTGATGAAACACCCTACTTCATCACTATTGCATTAGGACCAGCTATTCGTGTTGGACGATAAATTAATTCACTTGACACGTGGGAAAACGATTTGCGCTAAAATATCTCAACAACTATTGGATGGATTCCCATGAAATCTTGTAGACATTCGTGGTTCCCAGAGGATGCATTCTACTGACTCTGGGGACCCCACACTTGATCTCTAATGCCACAATGAGGTTGACATTCGCAGTTTTGATTATGGTTAACATTGCCTATTAAAACATTTTAAACCACATTGACAGACATACTGTAATGGGATATAACCTAATATGGAAGTTTTTATTGGTCTTTGATAGTTGCATAAGACAATCCACAAATGTAT